ACACAAGCCATGAAAGAAGATATAAAGCTAATTGCTTCTATAGCTTCAACTCTGCCATGCATTTTTCAGATTTTTTGGTGGAGGACATGTGCATAAAATATATTTGATACTAAAAGCTTAAAATCTAATGGGAAGCTCCACAAGTTCGGATATTCTAATTGTTCAGAAGCTCACTGAGATATTCAGACTTCTCGCCTGTTTAATTTTAGTGTAAGGTATTTTTTCTTTTTCTTGCAATTGTGTGTGTGTGTGTGTGTGTGTGTGTATTGGAATAAACCCATAATCAATTCCTTAAGTAGCAGTCTGGCAGATCAAATTACTGGGTCAAAGACTTCCCAAATTGCTCAGGGATTTGCGTAATGGAAATCATGCAACCTCCAAGGCCACTGTGCCACGGAGGAGTGACATCTCTCCCCATGGTGCTTTTTCCCCCACACATCACAACCACACTTGTGGAAATGAGGATGGGGTACCAGGAGTCTGGATTATCCTTAAGCTCAGCTTCCATCTCAGAGAAGATCCTTGATGCTAGATCCGGGGGACGGGGTGTGCCTGAGTAAGAACAGGCAGGGAGAAGTGAGGAAGCCATAAAGGGCAGGGAAGGGGTAGTCAGATCACAAAGACAAGTGTCCAGGTTTGGGGACAAAAGTCTTACAGACCAAGGGAAGCAAAGGCCATGCTTTTGACAGAGGGGACAGAGGTGGACGGAAACTAAGAAAACTGAAGTCGACCTTGCTGTTTGCAGCGCTGGTGAACAGCAGAGGCAACAGGTGATCCGGGTATAATTAAAGTCAACAAAACACCAGAAGCCAGCCAGCGGCCCTGTGGGGAAAGCAGGCCGCCAGTGGTGCATGCTCACAGCCAGCCAGAGATCAGCAGCAGGCCTGCTGGAAGGGACTTTCCCCCAATGGGAGAGCCTTAGGCAGCTGGCTCACCAGCATCCTTAGCGGGAAAGCCCCCCCATCCCACACTCCACACCCCACACACATAGTCTCTCTGTAATCAACCTGGACAGAGGCTTGGTGGCCACAGTAGCAGTGAACTCTGCTTTTATTTTGTTCATCCTTGATCTTTCACAAAACCCCTTTTGGACATCCTTAGCCATCAGAGAAATGCAAATCAAAACAACTCCGAGATTCCATCTCACGCCTGTCAGAATGGCCAAGATCAAAAACACTGATGACAGCTTATGCTGGAGAGGATGTGGGGTAAAGGGAACATTCTTCCATTGCTGGCGGAAGCGGCAAACTGGTACAATCACTTTGGAAATCAGTATGGTGAGTTTTCAGAAAATTAGAAAACAACCTACCTCAAGACCCAGCAACTCCACTTTTGGGTTGATGGAATTTGGGTGAGTTAAATACCCCACAATCTCTCCTAGGCTCTAAGTCTGCAGCCATCATAGACCTGTGAGCCAACTGGGGTTACTGAGTACTAAAGACGCTAAAGGTGAGTTTGCCAAGATTTTTTTTACCCACACTGGGGAGGTCACTGGCCCACTTGTATAACCCCTTATCCCTTCCATAACCCCCTTACCCCCACCCCACCCCCATGGTGATTATTTGAAAGAAAATGGCCCCCAAAGGGAGCGACAATATTAGGAGGTGTGGCCCTGTTGAAAGCAGTGTGTCACTGTGGGGATGGGCTTTGAGTTCTCCTGTGCTAAAGTATCTCCCAGTGTCTCAGTGCACTCTCCATTGCCTGCATATCAAGATGTCTGCCTGCATGCCACCATGCTCCCTGTCATGTTAATGGACTTAACCTCTGAAACTGTAAGCCAGCGCCTCGATCCAACGTCTTTCCTTATAAGAGTTGCCGTGATCATGGTGTCTCTTCACAGCGATAGAAACCCTAACTAAGACGCCCGCCATGTACACCCTGGCAGCTTCCACACAGCTCTCGTTCAGTCTACACTCTCAGCTCCACCTGCTTCTCCCAGCAGCTCTCTCTCCTCAGGCCTACTCAGATCCCAAGAGGGTCACTCACTGAGTTTGACATCTGAATTGGTTTCCAATTGTTTTCCTGGGGCCTAGCGGCCAAGGCCTTCTTCCGGGTCTGGTCTGTCTGAGTCTTCCCACCTCCTTGGATTGCTCCCTATCTCATTACTCTGGCAGCAACTCACTCTTTCTTCCATCCAGAAGACAAAAGAGGAGTGTGAGGAAGGGGCCGCCTCAGTGATGTTAGCCTTCGGGAGTGTTTCCCAACTCCCGCCCCCCCCAGTACTGCTGCATGAGATACTGACCACAGACCTCAAGACTTCAACTGCTGGCAGTGCCTCTTGCCCAAGAAGCCCACAAACTGAGCAAGGACGTTCACTGATAATTTCATGGTCTCGGCTTGCAAAGCAGAGCAATGCTAACAAGTTCTTTTTCCAGTCTGGGTGCCGTAGCCTGTCCCAGGACTGGAGCATAGTCCAGGCCCTTGGCATTCATGGGAAGCCACCACCAGGCACTTGAAGCCTAGAGTAAAGGAGACTGCTGTTGATCCTGGAGTCTACACTATTTGGGGTGTAGGTTGTTTTTATGGTAACATTTGGCCACGAACATAAATTAGCTAAGTGCTTTTACAGATTCTTACACAGAAGGCAATCCCAAAACCTGAGCCCTGCAAATCTGCTGGGCTCATGTGAGAAAACACTATACTGGAAATTCAATAAGAACATCTGCTGAATTCAAGTGACTTACAGTACAGCCCCTACCTCCTTTACCCCTTCAACCCCCTCTACCCCTCCCAGGACCCATGCTCCTCCTCAAAGGTTTGTCTGTAAGGCTCCAGCCCAGCATTAATGGGATTCCTATCTCAGACCAAGGATTAGCTGCAGCTGTTCCCCGTGGGTTTTCTTTTCACTTATGTACCAGCTGCCATGCAGGACACTCTGTGTTCTCATGAACCTCTTTATCCCTCACATGGTCCTGTGAGGCAAGGAGTGTTCCGCCCATCTGCTGATGAAGTGGCGGGCGTTTTAGGAAAGAACCTGGGCATAGAGCTTAAGAATTTCACTCACAAGCCTGCCTCCCCCAAAGGCCGTGACTCACTCTAAGTCGATATTAAATCTGTAATTTAATGAGCTGAACACAAAATCCAGGAATGATTTCTTATAACAGAGAGGAAAAAAACTTATGAGTTCCTTTTCAGAGCTAAGCTCCTCTGACACCACCATGTAGGAAATACCCCCAAAGAGAACATACGTGACCGCGTGGTGAATGTGATGTCTGCAGCTGTCACCGTCCTGATTTCAACACCCATCCAGATACTGGAAACACTGAGCCCTCTTTTCAATCAAAGCAAAACACATCCATGACCCCTCCTGTCGAGGCATCCCTCCAGGTTCACAGTAGCAGCAGCAGCCCCTCCCCCGACCTGCATTGCCCTGGTTTCTGCGGCCCAAATGCAACAACTTTCATCTCTTGGCTATGTCTATTCTAACGCAGTCTCTGAAAACCACACATTTCTATGGCTCTTGTTTACAGCACTAGGTGTTGTTAGTCACGGACTCCCTATTACCCAAAATAAGAGATTTCGTTCTCTTGGAGCCCACATACTTCTAGCGAAGTTACACCGTTCCTATTAAGTCAACCTCAGAGCTTCTCGTTATGATGACCGTGAAGCTATGCTCACAGCAGAAGCATGGGGGGGGGGGGGGTGTCATGGCTCACGCCTGTCACAAACACCACTTAGCTGTCATTTCTGGAGTCCACAACTGTCTCCTGTGCGAACGCCTAACTTTCTATATAACGATCACTCACGGATTCAGCCTTATCTTTCCCACAAAACTATACTACTCAGAGTACAGCCCCAAACTGTTATGTAAACCAATACAGTTCTTTAGTTTTGTTTGTTTTTAATTTCTTGAAGTTCTCCCTTCTGGAAATTCCTCTCCTCCTACACCAAACCCAGACTAGATGGCTTCAGGGCTTAATAGGCAATCCCGCTTATTCTTTCTGGTTTACTCCCTAGTTGAAGGGACAGACGGCAGCCATAGCTTCTCAGAAAGCCTCTGTGGGCGGCAGGAAACTGGCACATCAGACAGCACCATCCTTCCGCCCACTCTCTTTCTCTGGCAGTTTCTCAGAAGTCATCTCCTCTTGAAATTTTTAATATGTAAATGCATTTGCTTGTTTATTTAGTGTGCAGGTGCACATGCAAGGGTGCCATAGTCCTTGTGTATTACTTCTGAGGGCAAGATGGAGGAGTTGGTTTGGGGATCCTGGGGATTGAACTTGGGTTATCAGGTTTGGCGGCAAGCACTTTTTTTCCCCCCAGTTTTTGGAGACAGGGTTTCTCTGTAGCTTTGAAACCTGTCCTGGAACTAGCCCTTGTAGACCAGGTTGGCCTCAAACTCACAGAGATCCACCTGCCTCTGCCTCCTGTGTGCTGGGATTAAAGGCGTGCACCACCACTGCCCGGCTGGTAGCAAGCACTTTTATCTGCTGAACGGCTCAGCTCCGAGAGCTCTCCTTTCAAAGGTCTGGATTCAGTGTCTTCTAGCCAGTGTTGCCATCCTTCTGTTCTCACGCAGAATCCACTCAGACTCCGGAGTTTCACATCTCACCTATTTATTTCCATGCACAGGCTATTTGTGTGGCGTTCTTCCACTGGGTCACACCCCATCACTGTCTAGAGGCTCCCATCTGCATGCATCTTGTTTTGTTTCCATTTGCAGCGCTTGGTTCCAAGTACTCCTGTCAAATAGTTTCAACTCAGCAGTTCTATTTGTGTGTTTCTGTTTTACTTTTGTTGAAATTAGGTTTTTTCTTTTTTCATAAAATGTATTCCGATCATGGTTTCCCCTCCCCCACCTCCTCCAAGATCTTCCCAGCCTCCTCTCTTATTGGGAATCCACACCCTTTCTGTCTCTCCATAGAAAACAAACAGGCATCTAAAGAATAATAATAAGACCAAAAAAAAAAAAAAAACCAGAGGAAAAAATTCTCTGTATTTAGTTATTTACTTATTTCTTTTTTGAGACAGGTTCTCGTGTAGCCAGGCTGACCTCATGCTTGCTAAGTAGCCATGATGACCCTGATTTTCTTATCTTTGCATCTGCAGCCTTCCGAGCGCTGAGATTAAAGGCATGTACTGCTGTGCCAGAGAGCCCAGGACCTCCTGCATGCTAGGTAAGCGCTTTACCAATTCAGCTGCCTCCTCAGCCCCAATACGGTTTTCTTGTTATTTCTAGGACGCTTTCTCCTTCAGGATCCCTAGTCTCTTCTTTTGCACATCTTACTAATGCAGATATTGGGCTTTTTAAGAATAACCCGATCATTTTCCACTCCTCTGCCTTCTTTCTTTGTTGCAACTTTCTAACCCAAACCCTGTAGCTATTTACTTCTGCTTTTGCTTTTTATTCCAGGAATTTCATTCTCTTTCTTTGCGCTGTCCTTGCTACACGTACCTAGTCACCAAACCTTCTTACTTCTGAGTCTAGCCTCCCGGTTTGGGGGAGCTAGTTGGTCGGCTGTTCATTTCCTGTACTGTACCACTGAGCCACACCCCAGCCCTGAAGTTTTCCCACCACTGTCTGTATTGCCTGCATTGCTTTGTGCAGTTGCTGTTGTTGCCTCTTGGTTTCTGTCTTTCATATCTCGGTTCTCCTCAGATAGCTTAAGCTCCTTAGATATCCTATTAAATCCAAAACTGAAGCATGGAAACGGTGTGGAGGCGTGGGCTCTGAGCTGGCAGGTCGTAGCCCAGAGATGCTGAGATCACTCTATACGTTTTATGGGGGAACTCTTAATCTAAGCATCTGTAGGCCTGTGGGCCTCTCAGTTCTGACTATTCTCTTCTCATCACATGACTGCCAACAAACAGAGCATCACCCTGTCTAGCCAGTGTGGGTGGTTGGCCTGTCTCAGTGAGGACCTAGCAGGCTCCCACCTACTCCTTCCCTCTGGGGCAGAACAGTATGTCACACATACCCCCTCTTATCTTGGCCTTCTGTGATAGATTTTGTTTGTAAAAGAATCGATTTCTTTTTATTTTCTGTGTGTGAATGCTTTGCTCAGGTGTATGCCTGATGCCCAGAGCATCAAATCCCCTAGAGCTGGAGTTATGGATGGTTGTGAGCCACCAGGTAGGTAGTGGGACTCGAACCCGAGTCCTCTGCAAGAACAAACGCTCTTAAGCACACAGTCATCTCTCTAGGCCCCTGTGAGAGATCCTAGTCAGCTCTGAAGGCTTGATAACATTCCTGGAAAGCGCTTTAAAGAAAATATTAGTTACAAAAATTTGCATAGCTTTATATAGGCCCTCACCTCAGTTCCACCAAATGAGCTAACAATATAACTTGATTTCTGCAAAGAAATTACATACATGGCATTCAATTTTCGCTTCCGATACCTCCAGTCACATTCAAAACATTGTTCGCAGGGATCTTGTTATTCCCTGGGGGCCGCTTGCTCACAGCATGGTGCTGGAAACTGGGCCCTCTTAAGGAAGTGAACACCAGGGGAAGCAAACTTGCCAGACAATGACGAAGTGCACACTGGGAAGATCTCGGTCATAGCTATGATATTTTCAGAAAGTCACTTTCTGAAAGTCTGAGTCTCTGGGCCTCAGACTTCTCATCTATAAACCGGGTTACTCCGGTTATTCTGAAGTGGTGTTGGGAGGATTTAGTTAAATTCAAACCACTAGTGTCTTATTTTGGATCTGGGTCCTAGGAAAATAGCTATGGAGAGAGAGAGAAAAAAAAAAAAGATGAAACCTTTCCTTGGCCTCATGAAAAGAACTCTCTAAAGGAAAAAGAACGGAAGTAAATCAGTAGCTTTGCATGCTACTGGAAGACAGGACAACTGGCTAAGAGAGAGAGCCAGGTGTGAGAGTGAAGGGGGCAGATCATTCTTTTCTATCAGGCTGCTGGACTGTCTGTCAAGAGGACATTCACACACAAGCCTGAGGAAAGAGGTGAGACAAACCACAGGACTGTGTGCAGGAACAGCCTGGAGGGACCAGCAAACACAGAGGCCCTGAGACAGCCATATGCCTTGTGTCTGAGGTGCAGGCCTCGGTGAGGAGGCAAAAGGAAGAGGTAAAGAAGAGCAAAAGATGCAACCTGTGGGGTCCAGACATCTAAGAGAACTAAGTGAGGTGGGAAACCTTTACAGCTTTTGAGCAAAGAAAGTATGTGTTACAGGGCTGGAGAGATGGCTCAGCCGTTAAGAACACTGGCTGCTCTTCCAGAGGTCCTGAGTTCAATTCCCAGCAACCACATGGTGGTTTATAACCATCTGTAATGAGATCTGGTGCCCTCTTCTGGCATGCAGA